GAATTGGCCGCTGCTTCCGGGAAGCAGCCCGCCCCTCGTGCACCCGGAGAGACTAGATTGAGAGCGAGGGAGCGGTGGCGGGAGCGTAGGCTCGCAGCTCCGAGGAGGTAAGGTAAGCGGGGGCCGGACGCGGGGAGATGGCGGAGGCGGAGGCGGAGGCTGTGGCACCGCGTCCCTAGACCCACAGTGTGCTGTGCGCCTGGAGCGCTGGCAGCGCAGCCGGGGATCCGTCCTTTGGGGCCGGTATTTGGGCTCTTAGAGGTAGATTGCCCGGCTGCAGCCGGGGTAGGGTCTCCGTGGGGCCATAGTCCTGGAGGGCACGCGTCCAGTCCTTGGGGTTTCCTCCCTTGGACACCCCTGGAGCAGACTCTCTCAGTGCAGAGCGCGAGGTACATCGCCGATGTGGGAGGATGGTGGAACTGTATCAGCCGTTTTGTGCTAGGCTTGTACGTACGTGCATTGGCCCATTGAGTCTCTACAACAGCCCATTGAGGGCGATTCAAGTCCGCATTTACCAGATGAGGCAACTGAAGTCACACAGCTGGGAAGTGACAGCTAGAACAGACTCCAAAATCCACACACTTTATTATCGTGCTGCCAGCTGCATCCAGGTCCAGAGTCACGGGTCGGCTTCCCTCCCCCACCCCCTTCACCCAGAGTTCTCCACAGCCCAACTCTGCTGAACTTAAAGTATCAAGGGGTAATAGCGGGCATTGAAAACTGGGCTGCTGCAGACCTGAATTCTAGCCCTAAATTTGCCACTACCCCCTGCACGATCTTGGGCCTGTGCTGTCCTTCCTTGAACCCAGTTTCGCCATCATTTCGATGTCTGCTGCAGACCTGAATTCTAGCCCTAAATTTGCCACTGACCCCCTGCAGGATCTTGGGCCTGTGCCTGCCCTTCCTTGAACCCAGTTTCGCCATCATTTCAATGATGTAATCAACAAGCTTTAAGGATCCTCTTAGCCAAGATGTCTTAGGAGTCTGTGGACCTGGCTAATTCTCTTCATAGCTCCAAATGGCTAAGCCGGAAGAAACTGGGCTCTTCCAAGGTCTCTAGGTCATGGCCCAGGTCTCATTCTTCTCTTTAATTCTTGTGTGTAGCACTGGGACAGGCCTAGAGTAGACATTCAGGAAATGTGAGTTGAATAAACAAGTCGGTCCCTTGTCATAACTGCCTAACAGCTGCTGTCCTGGGCCCCTCAGGGGCTTTGGATTTTTCAGCCCTGGCCACCTTCTACCTAGCTGGCCCCTGACTGCCTCCTCCCCAGCTGGTGGCAGAGGCTGCTGGAGCTGGCAGTAGCTCCCAGCCCTCTGTGCCAAGACCATAACCTCTGGAATCCTCCCCTGAGCACAACATGGGGGTGCTCAGACGCTGCAGCTCTTTCTCAGTCCCTCCTGGTAGCAGCTTTTAGGGCCCAACTTAACTTACTTCCAGGTTGGGGAAGCTGCCTTCTAAGAAAGGAGATACCTTTACAACCAGTTTGAAAAGCTACTTATTCCTCAATGTCCCCTCTTCCCTGAAGCCATCCTTGACTCCCAGAGAACACAGATCCCTCCCACAGCACCTGGTCCACCCCTCGGTTTTAGCACCTGTGTGGTGAGGAAGGCAGTGATCCCATCCCCACCCCCACCTGGGATGTCTTGGAAGACCTTGGAGCCCACACAGGTTTGAATGAAAGTTCTCCCTTCTGGGTGTGTGCAGAGGCACGGGTGTGATGGCACGCCTGGAGATCTAGTTCCAGATCAGTTCTATTCCTAATATAAAAGTAGCTACGTGTTTACTGTGAGACTAGGCACATACCTGTTCACTATCTCTAATCTCTGCAGCTTTGCCAGTTTGATTAACTCCCATTTTATAGAATCTGAAAGGCTAGCAACCTTTCAGAGTCACACATTGAGCACAGACCAGACCTGGGGCTCTTTGACCCTGAAATGTAGGTTTTTTTTGGACCACCCTATACTGCCTTCTGTTTAAAGCTAACCTGTTCTAATGTGGCTGAGCATAGGTGCTGGGTCCCATGGTGACTTGCTCTTGACTTCAGTGAGGTGTGACAGGGTTTAAGCAGTGACTTGCAAGCTCCCTTGATTTGAGAGAAGTGCCCTGCCAAGTGTATGAAAATCTCCCAAACCTCCACCTGGCTTTTGCTCCGCAAACAGAGATGCAACTCTGTTGCTCAGGGGTGTTTTTCTACCCCACACATATTGATTCAGCACCTGTTGTGACAGAATGACCATGTGTGGTGCAGGGTTTGGCACTGGACTAGAAGCCAGGAGATCCCGTGCTCAAGCCCAGCTCTGTACCTGACTCACTGTGTGATATCAGACAGGCCCTGTTGCCTCTGCATCCAATTTCCACATCAGAATGAACGTGATAAACAGGATTGGTGATTTTCAACTTAACTTTTTTATTACTGATACCCGTTTCTCAAATCAAATCTCCCTGAACCCTAAACTTAAAATACAACAACACACAGATATTAAAGCGGAACTGCCCTAGTGAGGCCTCTCCCTCGACACTCTCACCCTCCCTTGTCCCCCACCTCCTGCAAAGCTCCTAGGCAGCCCTGCCCTGTTGCTGCTGATAAACAGAAGGCATTTATTTGCTCCCTCAGCCTTCTAAAGTAGAAGCGAGAATGAAGCCAGTGGAATGCAGCTCTGGATTCCAGAAGCTGGGAGCTGCCACAAAGGTTGCTGCTATCTGAGACGTGTGTAGACCCAGCTTCAGAATCTGATTTGACTCCAGAATGACATTGAGCAAGTTACTTAACCTCTCTGAGCCTCCATTTCCTTATCTCAATTCTTGTCTCCTTGTTTTCTCAGCTCTCCAGCCACCAAAGCAAAGCAAAGATAGTCGAGGCAGAGAGGTGCCTGCTGAATCAAGTGTTTACCAGGACTAGTAGATAAAACCGAGCACTCATTGTCTAGAACAAATTCAAATTCTGGCTGTTACTAACTAGCTGTGTAGTCTTGGGCAGGTGACAGCCTCTCTGAGCTAGGCTAATCCCTGGCAGACCTGGGAGCAAAATCTTTTTTTTTTTTAATATTTTTTATTGATTTTATAGAGAGAGGAAGGGAGCGGGGAGATAGAAACAGCAATGAGAGAGAATCATGGATAGGCTGCCTTCTGCCCGCCCCCCACTGGGGATCAAGCCCACCACCTGGACATGTCATTTTTTATTGATTTTATAGAGAGAGGAAGGGAGCGGGAGATAGAAACAGCAATGAGAGAGAATCATTGATAGGCTGCCTCCTGCATGCCCCCCACTGGGGATCAAGCCCACCACCTGGACATGTCACCTGACTGGGAATCAAACTTTGGACTTCTTGGTACACAGAACAACACTCAACCAACTGAGCCACACTGGCCGGGCTGAGAGCAAAATCTTGCACAAAATGGTCACTCGGGACTTTGTAACTGCTGAATGATTGCTCATTTGGGAGTTGGGACATTTCGGGGAGGCCTGGCTTGCTCCTGAGTCAGATGATATGGTGGCTCAAGGGTGGGGTGGTAGGATGGGGCCCCGTGTGGCTCCTGATAACCCCAATCCTGACAGAAGGCGAGTCAGATAAAAAGAGGCCTGGGAGACTGGGGGGAAAGGTATCATCCGTGTACTAAAGGACTCCCCAGGCCAAGGGGATGTGTAACCTCGGATAAGTCCCTGCCTTTCTCTGAGCCTTGAGATCCCATTCACACAAGGAGAGATGAGTGGCTCTTGATATTTTTTCTTCCCTACTTGGCTACTGAGTGTCCCCCCAGGCACCTTGCCTGAAGGTGGAGTGGAAGTACATTAACCACCAATCTGTAAAGGTGTCTTCAAACTGACAAACCAAGCAGGCAAGTTCATTGACTATAACAGAATTTATTATAGGGTCATTTACTTATTGAAGTTTGGGTCAGAGCAGAAGAGACAATCCATCCGACCCTGCAGATTATTAGCTAAACTAATAAACCTTTTGTAGTATAGCTGAACTACTAATGATTGACAAGACTAAGGGACAAAGAATGCAATGAGACAGGTCTTATGATTGCCAACACCAAGTTTGATACTTTATCTTGTTTGCTGTGCCATTCTGGTCACTTACTGACAGGAATCTATGGTTACACTATGTGAATTTATAGGACACAGCTAATCATTAACTGTGAGGCTTTGGTGCTGGCTGAGACGAGTTAGATCAGAGTTCTCAGCATGGAAAAACAAAAGCAGGGATGCAAAGATGGAGTCACTTTTGTTCACATCGACATCTGTACACTCCTCCAAAAGGACGTCTCTAAAACGGAGCTCTCCACCTCCTCTCCAAGGTCTGCTCCCCACTACCCTCTTCCTGCCTGGTCCCTGTCTCCATTGCCCTCCAGGTCAGGAAAGCGTCCCCCCCACGAGACTGCCTCTTGGCCGCCTTATGGCCCTTCCTTCTCCACCCCTCTGGCTCCACATCCTCTGTGCTCCTCTGCTTCCCACCTGCTGTGCTCAGGCTGTCAGGATTTTCTTCCTAAAGCCAGGCCCTGACCAGGCCACCCACCCACCCCCATTAGAAACCTTCCTGTCCCCAATCTGCCCCCCTCCCCTCCATACACACCTGGTTCCATTGATTGCCTCCTTAGGTCCTAGGAACAGTCCATAGCCATCCCTCCTTCCCTACCTTTACTCCTTTCTTCTCTTCCTGAGGGAATATTCTCCCCTTTCCTTCTAACTAGCTGAACCCACTCATCCTGCAAAACCAGTTCAAGTCCTCATCTTCTTTCAACAAGCTTCTTCTGACCTCCAAACTCACATTGGAACTCATAGTTCTTTTAGGGTAGGTTCCACCTCTCCGAGATGCACTCAATCAGCCCTACCTCCCAGGACTGTAGTGCCAACTCAATGAGAAACCATGTGTGCAAGTGCCCAGTGTGGCCTGGCACACAGTAGGTGCTCAAGAAACAAATGCTACTGCCCCAGCTTCCTTCTATCTTACATTTATTTAGCATTTAGGACATATTGTCTGGTATTTCATGTAATATTTACTATGTGGCAGAGTGTGTGGGGAAGACAAAAAATGAACTCACGATAAGCCTGCAGAAGCTCTGTCTACTGGGACAAGATAAGATATAGTCACAAAGACCTGTTATATAAGAGAAAGTGTGACCTGGGCAAGAAGAGAGGCTTTAGTGGGAGAGGGAAGGAAGGAGTGCCTTGTGGACAGCCAGGTAGGATTTGGGGCTGGAGGAGTGGAGAGAGCACAAGCCTTCTAGATAAAGGGAGCAGGGTGAGCAGAGCCAGAAGCTAGCCACATGTGGCTTGTGCTTGGGGAGTAGCAGGAAGTTTGAGGGCTGGAAAAGACGGCATCAATGGCCACTCTACAGGGTGTGCGTGTGTGTTGGGAACCACTATTTAATCCTCTTAGTGTGTGTCCTGCCTGACCAGTCCACGTACGAAGGGTAGAATTACAGGGAGTTTTTTACTTTGGTTTATCTAAACTTTCTGCCAAGTACATGGACATTTTTCATGGAATAAACAAAGTATAAATGTTGGCTAGATCAGTGTTCCTCATACTAATTTCCATCCAGGCCAGATTGATTTTTTTGATAAAATAAAAATGAATTACTAGAAAAAATATTATTTAAAAAGAAAAAGAGAGGCCATATAAGTATGAGCCCAAATTTTGTATTACTGGTTCAAATCGCTATGAAAGTTTCTTAAGGCCTCCTTTCATTTCTCTACTTATCTTATAGAACAGCAAGGACTGGTGAACCACACTCAGAGGAACACTGAGGTAGAGAGCAGATGCAGGAATCCAGAAGAGCTTGGGGGGTATATGACCGCCTCCTGGGGACAGGGACCATGTCTCACGTTCCTCCTGTTGTCCCCACATAGCTGAACACCCAGGAGCCCTCAGTTCCAACCAGCTGGCTACCCTGTACCCTGACTGCTCACCATGCAGCCTCAGTCTGTTCTCCACAGCGGCTACTTCCACCCACTGCTTCGGACCTGGCAGGCAGCCGCCACTACATTCAGTGCCTCCAACCTCATCTACCCCATCTTTGTCACGTGAGTCCCCAGTTTTTTTTTTGGGGGGGTGGGGTGGGAGTGACAGTGACCAGAGCAGGCATCTGTTTGCAGGTGATAAAGTGAGATGTCAGTTTGGAGCTCAAGGTATGGGTTAAGGACAGCTGTCTTAAGAATGAAACAAACCTTGAGAAGAATTCAATCTTCCCATTTGGAAAATAAGAATAAGTCTTACCTGCCATCCTGAGCTTTTGCAGTATGACAGAAGCTGGGAAGGTATTCTGTAGATTGTAAAGTGCTATGTACATGTAAGAGGTGGTAGTCATGATTATTAATAACTAGAGGCCTGGTGCATGACATTCGTGCACTGGGAAGGAGGGGGGTCCCTCAGCCTGGCCTGCACCCTTTCACAGACCAGAAGCCCTCCGGGGATGTCCTGGCTCATGTGGGGAGCAGACTTAAGCTGTCAGTCTTAGTGCTGCCTTCTGGCTGAGCGGCGCTCCCCCTGTGGGAGCGCACTGACCACCAGGGGGCAGCTCCTGCGCTGAGCTTCTGCCCCCTGGTGGTCAGTGCCCATCATAGTGACCGGCCCTTCAGTCGATTTGCATATTACCCTTTTATTGTATAGCATAGCAACAGCTGACATTTATTGAGAACTCACTGTGTACCAGGTACTATGCTAAGCATCTACATCTGTTATCTTTCAGTCCTGACAGCATCCATATGAGGAAGGTATGAATATTATCCCCTAGATCAAGGGTGGGGAACATCCACCCTCAGGCCTATGAGGCCTGCAAAATCATTTGATATGGCCCTGCCAAGGCATTAGGGGTGAGTTAATTAAATGTTTGACCAGATATAGCAGGCTAATTTTTTTTTTTAAATATATTTTATTGATTTTTTACAGAGCGGAAGGGAGAGAGATAGAGAGTCAGAAACATCGATGAGAGAGAAACATCGATCAGCTGCCTCCTGCACATCTCCTACTGGGGATGTGCCGGCAACCCAGGTACATGCCCTTGACCGGAATCAAACCTGGGACCCTTCAGTCCGCAGGCCGACGCTCTATCCACTGAGCCAAACTGGTTTCGGCAACAGCAGGCTAATTTTTAAGTTGATAATTGTTTACGGCCTGCAAATGATCTTATAAATATCCAAATGGCCCTTGGCAGAAAAAAGGTTCCCACTCCCACCCTAGATTGTTATCTCCTTGAGGGCAGGGATTTTTGTCTGCTTTGTTCACTGTTATACTGTCAGAGCCTAGAACAGCACCTGGCACATAATAAGTACTCAATAAATATTTGTTGTATGAATGAATGAATGAATGAATCCACCCAGGATATAAAAAAAGGGCCTGAGGCTCAGAGATGGTACACCCTCATTTAGGCCCTGTGCTGGCCCTGGGGCCACAGGCGAAGGGACATGGCACCCATGTAAGGTCAAAAAGCTAAGAAGGTCACCCAGTCAGTACTAGTAAGTGACTGTGATAGTAAGTGAGGACCTTCTGACTTCAGAGTCCCAAGTTCTTAACCACTTGAGTGTTTCCTATGATTGCTTGTCTTTTAGTAAGGTTGCTCTTGCTGTCACTGTTATTCTTGTTGTTCCTATTATTATTTCAGGCCCTGGGCTTGGCCAGGCAGGGGGACCAGACACTGGACCCTATCCTCCTCCCAACATCTCCACTTCCATATTCCTTCCCGGCTCCCCAACCATCCCCCCTAGTCACCCCCTCACCACTGGCCCTTTCCACAGCTACCAATCCATAGCCCACCCCCACTCTTACAGGGATGTTCCTGATGATGTACAGCCTATTGCCAGCCTTCCAGGAGTGGCCAGGTAGGAGACATGGTGGGGAGGGAGGGGGATGATGGAGGGAGAGATTTTATACGTGGAGGTGCCAGGAAGCAGAAGCAGAGCCAGGAGGTAGAAGATCCGGAGAGTCTGACTTCAGCTCAGTAGAGAGAAGGGTTTTGTCAGGGTCAAAGTTGTTCCACACAGAAGAGGCAGCCTTGCAAAGTAATGGGCTACCCATCACCAGAGACATCATAGCAGAGTCTTGGAGAGGAGAGCTTAACTTCAAATGGGAGTTCAATAAAAGAACCTTGGCGGGGCCTTTTGCAGCTGAATCCCATAGTCTGCCACTTGGTGCCTCAGTTTACCCATCTGTTTGTTGGGTACGTTCCTGCCCCCACCCCCTGTACTATGGGGCTTAAGACCTCCTAGTACCAAGTGCCACTTGGCTCTTAGTAGAGGCACAGTGTGGCAGGGTGGGGAGGGCCTTTGTCAGGGGCCTGCCTCACTGCAGCCCCTCCTCGCAGGTATGGTGTGAACCGGCTAGAAGAGATGCTGAGGCCCCTGGTGGAAGAGGGCCTGCGCTGCGTCCTGGTCTTTGGTGTCCCCAGTAGAGTTCCCAAGGTGAGGAATCGGGGGAGGTATTAGAGGGGCGGTGAAGGGGAGGTTGGGTGAAGGTGAGCTGAGGTTCCACACTGACCACACCCTCATTTAGGCCTTGTGCTGGCCCTGGGGCCACAGGTGAATGGACATGGCCGCTGTTATTAAGACAGCACCCATGTAAGGTCAAGAAGCTAAGTAGCACTATGACACCCTGACTGGGCAAGTCAAGTCCCCTGTGCAAAATGGGGAGAGTCCTTACCGTGCCTCCTCGTCCAGAGGCCGAGAAGGTGATAAAAAGGAGAGGGTGGGGACTGCACTCTGTGAGGGCCATTGTGCCTCCCAAAGGCTTCATGGGACAGACACACTACTGCTTTGTCCTTTCCCTGTCACTAGGATGAGCGGGGCTCTGCAGCGGACGCTGAGGACTCCCCGACTGTCGAAGCAGTTCGTCTGTTGCGCAAGACCTTCCCCAGCCTGCTGGTGGCCTGCGACGTCTGCCTGTGCCCCTACACCTCCCATGGTCACTGTGGTGAGTTCCCTCCCTCCACCAGCCCTGCTGCCACCCGCACTCCCACTGCCCAGTTCTCCCCACAGTGGGACAGGCCAGGGGCTCCCTAAAATCCAGCTGTCTGACATGCAGGGCTTCTGAGCGAGAATGGGGCTTTCCAGGCCAAGGAGAGCCGCCAGCGGCTGGCAGAGGTGGCTCTGGCCTATGCCAAGGCAGGTGAGTGAGCCACCAGCAGGGATGAGAACCTCTGGGTCAGGGAGGTGGCGGAGTAGACAGGAGGGTCCCAGAGTCCTGAAGGCCATCCTCCCTCCCTCAGGATGTCAGGTGGTAGCCCCGTCAGACATGATGGATGGACGCGTGGAAGCCATCAAGGAGGCTCTGATGGCACATGGATTTGGCAACAGGGTAGGAGCAGGGGTGGGGGGAGGGGTGTGGGGAGGTGGGGAGAGCAGAGAGGCCTGCCCCCACATCTGCCAAGAATCACAGAACTGAAGACAGACAGGACAAGGTCTTTGGGATTGTCTCGCCCTCTGCTCCTGAGATAGGGAAATCAAGGCCCAGAGCTCCAGTGGGACTAGAGCGCAGGCACTCTGCTTCCCAGCCTAGGTCCCTTTCCTGTACGTGACCCTAGAACAACTGGAAAGGGCTGACTGAGCGCAATCCCCACGTTCCCTCCACAGGTATCGGTGATGAGCTATAGTGCCAAATTTGCTTCCTGTTTCTATGGACCTTTCCGGTGAGTGGGGATGGGCTAGGGTCTGCTGTTAAAGCCCTGACCCGTTAGCCCAAAGCTGAAGCCCTCCCTGATGTTGCTGCTTCCCAGGGACGCGGCTCAGTCAAGCCCAGCTTTTGGAGACCGCCGCTGCTACCAGCTGCCACCGGGAGCACGAGGCCTGGCGCTCCGAGCAGTGGTGAGTGACCAGAGCTTGAGCCCCAGCTAGCCTGTCCCCCTCTCCCCTCGCCTCCCAGGCACTGCCCACACCCTACCTCATTCCTTAGGACCGGGATGTCCGGGAAGGAGCCGACATGGTCATGGTGAAGCCGGGATTGCCCTACCTGGATATTGTGCGGGAGGTGAAGAACAAGGTGAGCACAGAGCAGAGACAAGGGGGGCTCAGGGAAGTGAGAGAGTGTGTCCACGGGCTCTGGGACCTTAGATTGATGGACTGCAGAATCTCAGAGTTGGAAGCAATCTGCCCCTGGACAGGAATCCTCCCCTCCCTGCCCCTGCCCAGGAGCCACCAGTGGGCAGAAGCCTTTGAACAGCTCTGCTCTAACAGTTTAAGAATGGGTCCCGCCCTAACTGGTTTGGCTCAGTGGATAGAGCATTGGCCTGCAGACTCACCGGTCCCAGGTTCGATTCCAGTCAAGGGCATGTACCTTGGTTGCAGGCACATACCCAGTGGGGAGTGTGCAGGAGGCAGCTGATCGATGTTTCTCTCTCATCGATGTTTCTAACTCTCCATCCCTATCCTTTCCTCTCTGTAAAAAAATCAATAAAATATATATATTTAAAAAAAAAAAATGGGTCCCCAGCAGTGCCTCAGGGCATGGGGCTCAAGATGGTCAAAGGTTGGGCAGGGAACAAGGGACACTCCCACGGGGACACCCACCCTCCACTTCTGCCTACTGCTGCTTCTCTGCAGCACCCAGAGCTCCCTCTGGCCGTGTACCACGTTTCTGGAGAGTTTGCTATGCTGTGGCACGGAGCCCAGGCTGGAGCGTTTGATCTCAAGGCCGCTGTACTGGAGGTCATGACTGCCTTCCGCAGAGCTGGTAAGCTGGCAGGGGTGGGGTTTTTGACCTGTGACACAGACTAACAGGCAGTTTGCCCAGAGATGGAAATGAAGTCCTGAAACAGCCTGGAGTCTTAGGCCCAGAGGTAACAGTGATCTAAACAGACACAGGCTGAGAGGAAAAGATATGACTGTAGAACAGAACATGGAACAGAGAAGCAAGCAGAGCTCTCTATTATTTTTTGGTTGTGAGACCTTGGCCACTTCTCTGAACCTCAGTCCTGTCTATAATAGAGATAAGATACCTGGTAGGTGGTTGTCATGTGGGTTAAATGAGATGATAGGTGTAATCGGCATATGTTCATCACTCCATAAATGCGAGCTGGTTTTATTGGTATGGCACACAGTGTGGGAAGGGAACTTACAGCTTATCTGCTTCCCCACTGGGCATTTTATTCATTGGCGAATTGAGGTCCAGAAAGAGAAAATGACTTGTCCACAGTCACAATCTAGAGCGCTAGAACTGACTAGCGCTGGGCTCAGTCTTACGTTGTGAAACCCACTAACTGTGCCTCTTCATAGTAGCTGCCTTCCCTGCTGGCCCTCATTTCCCAGAAGGTATGCCCAGAGCTGATGCCCGCCCCCCTCCCCTGTTTCCTGTTTCTCTCCCACAAAGGTGCCGACATCATCATCACCTACTACACACCTCAGCTTTTGCAGTGGCTGAAGGCATGATGGAGAGAGTGTGCACGACCCAAGAACTAGAACTTTACTGAGGCCCCGGGGCCTTGGAGAAGTGAAAACCAAAGTGAATGCTGCTTTTAGAACTGTGCCCTTGTGCCCTTTTCCTGCCAAATCTTACCACTGTCAGCCACATCTTCCTGGGCCCCGCCAAGCTTCTCCACCCTCCCCTGTGTCAGCCCTGAGGCCACCTCTGCCCCTCTAGCTCCTTCCTCTGGTGTTGCTTCCGTTTGAAAGCTCTCACGAGCACAGGTTTGTGGGGCCTGGGCAAGGAGTTTGGAGCATTAGGCGAAGAGGAAGACAGTTGGATCGTGGCTCCTCAGAAGCTGTGGAAAGCCCAAGGCCTCTGGCAGCATGCCAGATCTGCTGGACATTGGGCCTGGGGCCTAGATTGACATTCCTGAGTTGAAAGTTGAGACTTGCTGCGATTCCACAGGAAGGCGATTCCCACACCGGCCAGCAGTTGCCAGGCTGCCTGCGATCTGCTCTACTCTGAGCCATAAACCCCAGACAAGAATTACTCATTAACGAGCAGAAACATTGCCAGGGGATCAAAATTCAGAAGCAAAGAGAAAGTTCTTGATTGTTGGAGATGCCACCCTTCGAAAAGGCTTTTTATTAAAGAGATATTTTTTGAGAGCGTGTTTTCTGTGCCCAGGCACCGTGCTGGGTACTGAGGATCTAGCCGGACAGCCCTCAGCTTGTCTCTCTGCATGGAAACTATACCAAGAGAATGGGAGAGACAGGCCACAAGAAAACAGACAAATAAAGCAGTTACAAATTCTAATAAGTGCCTGGAAGAAAATAAAAGGGTCTGAGATAGAGAATAACAGATGGGGGGAAGAGGGGCCTCCCTGAGGTCCAGGGAAAAGGAAGGGTCCTTACAGAGCAGAGGGAAGCGCCAGAAGCTGTGAGAATAACACCAAGTGTGCAAAGATCCCGCAGAGGAGCATGGCAGCACTGCTGGGAGCTGGGCGCTGAGAAGGGTGGTGACAGGGCTAGAGGTTAGAAAGGTGGGTCCCGCACGTTTTAGGAAGCTTGGGTTGTATTTTGCATCTGATCCAAAGACAACTAAAGCAGCTTAACCTATTATGTATGGTCCAATTTCCCACATTCCGCTGCTATGGGAAAAACGGAAGGGTGTGAGAAAAAGAGCCTTGTTAGGCTGCTGCAAACCCCAGGGAGCAACGGTGGTGACCTGGACCACGGTGATAGTGGAGAGGGGAGGAAGCCAATGTATTCGGGATACATTCTAAAGACGAGCATGAATACCTTCTTTTCTTTCACTAAAAAAAGGGCGGGGGGCAGTTAAGTTACTGCAGAGGACTCTGTCCTCAGCAGATTGTCCTGAGTTAGATAAGTTTCCAACTGAAAGCAATTCCTTCCTGGTGCCGACAGGGGACCCAGAGCAGAGAGGAGCTTTGCCTTGCCCAAGTCCACACGGCACTCGGCAAGCCTCCCGGGACCCACAGCCCCTCTTCCCTAGTCAGCCTGAGCCCCTCCCAGGAGTGTCCCAACCCCAGGAAGACGGAGGGGCTGGGAGAGGGAGGCGGGGGGCAGAGGCACAGAGGGTGCACGGTGACGGTGAGACCCGGGTTGGGGACGGAAGGGCTTAAGATGGGGATCGGAGAGGGTGTGAGAGTTTCCTAGGGGCGGAGAGGGAACCTAGGAGCACGCGG